GGATTTTCGAAAACCCGTTCAAATCATTTTCATCATGTTCTAAAAAGCTAGGCATCTTGTTATCTTTGATGCGACTGCAGTCTTTGAAACAAACTTGAGGGACTCTAAAATGCAATTTATGGATAAACTGAGATAACAAGAACATTGAAACGTTCGTCGAGAAATTCACGTGTATTAGATTGTTTAAAAACGTTTTTGGAGACCCTCAAATTTGTTTTTGACCTTCACCTATTCCCCCACCAGGGTGAATTACAGCACTAATATTTATTCCCCAGGAATCTATAATCAAGTAATACAAATAGTGTCACTATGCAATTTTCGAACTGCGTTTATTTTTGGTGTAACTTTACATTTACGAAACATTTATGTATGTCTCCTAAAGAAGTTTCCCAATTTTCATCAAAAGAATTCAATAGATAGGTAAAAAATAAAACTTATTTCACTACATAAGTTTATAAAACCCCATGGGCCCGAAAATTAGACAAGCAGTCTGTCGGCTGAGATAGCTCCGCTGTTAGCAATGCACATTTCAATTAAAGAACAGAAGATATCATTAGAAAATAAACAATATGTATCACTTTTCACCAAAAATAATCATCAAAATTAGATAATTGAAGATATCACCACGAAATTAACAAATCTGAAAGAGGTCCACATGTAGTACCTATATATGTAATATCAAAGAAATCGGACTTGTGGTTTTTAACAAGAAGTCGAAAATATAACTTTTACCAAAAATGACAAAAATATTCACCAAAATTAGAGAACTACAGATATCATTACAAAATGAACAAATCTGAGAGAGATCCACGTGTAGTATCTATATATGTAATATCAAAGTAATTGGACTTGCAGTTTTTAACAAGAAGTCGAAAATATCACTTTTTACCAAAAATGACAAAAATATTCACCAAAATTAGAGAATTGAAGATATCATCATGAAATGAACAAATCTAGGAGAGGTCTACCCAAGGTACATATACACCAAATATCAAAGCATTCAGGCGTATAGTTTTCAGGAAAAAGTCGAAAAAGTAAAACATTGACACGGACGACGACGGACAATCACTCATACGATAAGCTCCGCTCGACTAAGTCGACAGCGCAGCTAAAAAGACGGGAAATAAAATGTCGTCGTCATATTTATTTATCCTTGACTATTCCCCCACCAGAGTGAACTACATCACGTACGTTTGTTCCCCGGGAGTCTGTAATAAAACTGAATTCACGTCCTAAATTCATAAAGGTGTGTGTCGTTTCCCGAAATCGATTGGGTCACAATTACCGTAGCTATCGCCGAGGTGAAAAAGTCTCTCACCCCTTGGTTATTACTCAGATAACTAAAAAAATTATAAAATTGCTAATTTATTAGTTGTCTTAGGTTATTATCACCGTTTTTGCCGGAGGGATTCACGTCATAAATTTTGGTTACCGGGCACCTCCTAATAAACAACCTATCTGATAGCTTGGTTGAATTGATGATATAATCAAACAAAAATGATAGATTGGCCTCGACCTTCTCTCGCTCGGAAACGCAAGGGCGATAAGTCCCGATTTTCATAGACGCAGGTCGTTTAGATCAGACGGATTCTTTTGTTTCAAGTTCGTTGTTCTTTTGGATGAATCATGGAGGTAGAAAAGCTTTCTTCCTCCATGGGTGAATAGAACATGTTCAAGCAAAATACGTCAAAACACACTCTAGAACTTGACAACATTCACTCTCGGACCACTAATTATATAAATAGGTGGAAAAAACAGTTACATCACTCATGAAAATTGATGATTCGATTGCTGACCGGGATAGCTATATTTAGTGTTCATTTCTATGCAATTGTGATGTTTTTATTTTCATAATAGCGTATATCCTATGTAAAAATAGTGAAGCAAATCTTTACGAAGATATTACGAAGGGTAAAGCATTATTATGTTTCCTTTTAGGAGATGGCACTCAGCATTGCAGTTATGAGATATGTGAAGAAATCGATTAGATTTCTTATTGATGTCATGGA